TTCACTAGGGCTCGTGTAGTAGTGGCATTGAAATTTTCGGCCCCTCCCTGAACTGTTGCTTTAATGGAAAGCTCCATCTTGGGTGGCAGACGCAGCCCATGATCGGTGGTTGATGGTGAAGAATGCCATCTGTGGCAAAAGATTGCAGAGCAAATTGTTTGCATTTATGACATCATCTACCGTGAAACCTGGTCGAGCGCAGAACTTAAGGTGCAAAATGAAGGGTCCCTGAGGCCATTTCTCTCGTTCTTTCTTCATAAGCTGTCACTTCTACTGTCATTTCCAATAGCAAACAATGTTTGTACCACCTGGTTTTGAGTTGTTTTTATTGGATACCTTCTGTTCTACGGACAGCTCTCGTTACAAAAGTTATCACAAGAATGGTAGTTGTGGGCAAAACCTTCGCGCCCAGCCGGGATTTGTGCCCGGATTTGTTGTTTTCCGGGCAATTGTGCTGAGAAAGGTAGCAAGAGTTCAGGGTTCGAATCCCGGCTGGACCGAAACCTTTGCCTACACCTCAGCATTCTTGTTCACCATTTAGTATCAAAGAAAAGGACTACATTAAAACGACATGCCCCTGAGCTTTCTATACAGCACAGAAAGTCTTATATAGGACAAACCTCACGATTGCAGTACTGATCGATTTCTTCTTGAAGATGTTTCTGTACCGAGGAATGTTTTGCCAACAAATAGGTGACAAATGCTAACGACGTGGCGGTAGTATCGAAACCGGCGAGAAGGAACACGAAGCACTGAGCAGTGATTTCCTCTCTAGTTAAATGCTTCGACACCTGAAAAGGCAGATACAAAACAAATCCCTCATAGACTTTGAGCTATAAACACAGCATTTGTAGGTGATAATTCACCTGAACTCCCGTCTTCGAAAACTCGGCCGTGTTGTGGAAGGATTGCTCAGCTCGGGCGTCTAAGAAGAGATCTATGAAATCGGTCGGTCCCTCTGACATCACACCTGCTGCGGCATTTTTAGCCTGAAGGTGCTGAGTCCGGATAACAAAAACTTTCTAGGAACTCAATCAATATGAGATTGGTTCGGCCAAACCCACTCGAGTTTCGATTCTCTCATCTATAGTTTTATAGATCTTGTTGAAGAGAGCGGGGACTCGGCTTTTTCTCAGAAGGTGCCGCCGCAATGTACAGTTTTCTGAAAAAGCGATTGAGAAATAAGGAAAGCTGGGACTTCTAGGGAAGAGCTCCTTACAGATTCTATAATACCCCTATGCTTGTAATCTGCAGATGTATAATGTAAATGTAAAATATGTATGTCGAAGATACCTTATTGGAATTCGAAGGCTAGGAATAACGCTTGCCAAGTAGAACACTGGCTGGCGGGGATTTGTCCGGAATATCTGTAAAAAGATGTGTCTTTGCCCATCCAACATTTCAGAATTCGACCGGTCGACAACTCTTGAGCGGTAAAGATTGTTTATAGACAAAGAGTAAGTACGCGTCAGCTCCCCCCCCCCCTTGAAACGAACTCACGAATCCCTCAACTCCGTAACTGCAAGCTTCCGTAAGGGAGTCAAAATTCGAGGTCGATCCAAAATGGAAGGTTACGAGGGTTCGAGCGACCTTACAGCTTACTAAGCTTGTTGTATTTTAAAGGACGAATTCACGCTGGAAAGGCAACCCATTTCAAATTAACTAGGGATGGTGAGTGGTACACGAAAGAAGGAAGAACCATGAGAAACGGCCCAGAACCCGAGAAATGGGACCCCTTCCTTGCCCGTTGATTTGAGCATTGATGCGACTCTCATCGCTGTGCCCTCTTCAACACTACGCTCTCTCACTATCTAATCACTCGCCACGTATAGAACTGCGGCGAGTGATCAGATGGTCGGTGGGCGGAGATCGCCAGACCCGCCAACTTTGAGGCATGATAGGTCGCCGAGGTCAAATTTTTCGATGCGAATTGCGCATCAGTTCGCACCCTCAGGAGGTCCGTGGGTCCCTCAACTAGGTCAATTTCTTCTTCTTCGACCTTCATTCTAATCGTGAATTCCTCCTTTAATGTAACATTTTGTCCCTTTGTAAAGAATTACCTTTCTTAGAGTGCCAATTGAGCTAGCAGAGAAGACTGAGCGGCATAACTTGGTTGTCGCTGCTGAGTAAAATGATATCTAGAAGCCTATTTGCTAGTTGGACATGTGCGCTTTCTTCTGGACGCTCAACTATTCTCGGACGCCGCATTTGCGACGTCCACTCTAAACTTATGGGATACCCTTAGATTACTTATAAATGAAACGCTACTCACGTAGTCCACCGCGGCGACTTTTTCTTTATCACTGAATAGTTCCGACTCGCGTTGTCCCATTGCGATACGGTAGATCACGTCCAGAGAGAATTCTTTGTAGAAACTAGAAATATCTCATTTAAAAAAAGCTCCATGCCGAGTTAACCAAGTCACATACGGAAAAATATTGAAGGCTTCTTTGTCCGCCTGTTTTTCGAAGAATTCCATAAGCGCGAGAACGGAGCTCTCGACAGTTGGTCGAATCTGAGAAAAATCAAATATAATCGAAAAAAGGAATCAATTAAATTGAGTACATAGCTAAGGTTCCAGAGCAAAAGGAGTTT